CATCCCTGGGATATGGAGTTGACAGGAAGAATGTCCAAGTATTGGCTGCCATGGCTTGTTGGTAAGCTTTGCAGCAAATTGTAACTCCATATCAAATAGTTTATCAATCCTGAGTTCAAGTTCCAAATTTTTCACTTGTTGACAATTTTTTTTCTCTTTTATCTTTGCAGGAATGCCCGGTGAGACAGCACAAGCAATTTGTTGCATGATATTTGGTGGAGTTCTAGAAAGATATCCAAAACTGAAAGTGTGTTTTGCTCACGGGGGTAAGCAATGTGAATTATCCAAGAAAACTTTATGCAGTTAATCTTTTCAACATGTCTGTACAGTGAACATAAAAATAATATTTCTGTTGATTGAATTTTTGCTACACAGGAGGAGCATTTCCTTTCACCATTGGTCGCATTGAGCATGGTTTCAATGTCAGACCTGATCTCTGTGCTGTTCAGAACCCATTCAATCCAAGGTCAGTCTGTCCTGTATATACTAAGTCATTATGTCCACATTCTTTTTGTCATAGTTCAAGTGGACTAAGGCTTTGTCTCAGCACACTAACAAATGGCATCTAAAGTTATGTTAATTCTTTTTTTAGTTGGGCCATCCCCCTTTTTTTTTCGTTTATTGTCGAATGCATTTTCTGATTTTGGGTTGGTCGGTCAGAAAAGGAAAAANACCTGATCTCTGTGCTGTTCAGAACCCATTTAATCCAAGGTCAGTCTTTCCTGTATATACTAAGTCATTATGTCCACATTCTTTTTGTCATAGTTCAAGTGGACTAAGGCTTTGTCTCAGGACACTAACAAATGGCATCTAAAGTTATGTTAATTCTTTTTTTAGTTGGGCCATCCCCCCCTTTTTTTTTCGTTTATTGTCGAATGCATTTTCTGATTTTGGGTTGGTCGGTCAGAAAAGGAAAAAATTGGAAAAGGAGTCAGGAGCTATGAGGCCCGGTACCTCAGCATAATATCCGTGGAGCCTGGAAACAATAAGGTGTGGTTACAAAGTCAACATTGCAGCAATGGAGGAAGGAAAACGTCGACGTCATTGTTAAAATCAAATGAGAACAGGGAAAAACTAAAACTCTGTAAGGCAAAAATTTGCTTATGTTTCAGGTTAAAGTGACAATTGTTTAAAATAATGTGTCATTGCCTTCATTGCCTTCTGTGTAACTTTTTTTTTTTTTTAAACGCGAAAATCTGGGTCGGTCGGACAACGCTAAACAGAGAAAAAAAAGGGGATGGCCTTATGAGCTACATCTTAGTGATCACAATAAGCAGGGAATTAAAAACATGTCAACCCTTTTTTTGTTTTTTGTTTTTATTATTAATGCCCAAGTCGCTAGTGGAGGGAAAGTGCCTACGAAGCCCAGGGGCTGCAACCACAGTCACATCCCCAAGG